TGCTTTTTGAAACATATGCCCTGACCAATTGAGTTCCCTCTTTTGAACTCTTTTGAAATAGTACTAGTCCTGGACTATAGAGGTGAGCTTAAATTGGGAAAAAGAGCTGGGTTTTGCCTGTTATTTGTTGCCAATTGTCTCACCAATGAGGGTATTACAGACATCTAACAAGATTTATCTGACCATATGAAGAACATAGAATAACAAGGTTGGATGCCATCTTGGATGCCTTCTAGTCCAACCCCCTGCTCGAGAAAGAGACCCTATACCAAATGATTGCCAACCTCTTTTCGAAAACCTCCAGTGAAGGAGTTCCCATAACTTCTGGAGGCAAGCCATTCTACTGTTTATTGTTCTCACTGTCAGGATGTTTCTCCTTAATTCTGGATTGGATCTATCCTTAATAATTTTCCACCCATTACTTCTTGTAAAGCATCCTGAGGTGTTTTGGAAAATAAGTAGACCCTTCTTCTCTGCGACAATCCCTGAAGTATTAGAAGATTGATATTATGTTATTCCTAGTCTTTCTCTCATTAGACTAGACATACATAGCTCCTGTAACTGTTCATTGTATAGTTTAGTCTCCAGACACCTTATCATCTTTGTTGCTCTTCTCTACAAGCTTTATAGAATCAGCATCCTTTTTGTATCCTGGTGACCAGAACAGGACACGGTATTCCAAGTGTAGTCTTACTAGTGCAGTATAAAGTGCTACTATCACTTTATGTGATCTTAATACTACCACTCTGTTGATGCAACCCTATGACTACATTGGCTTTTTTGGTAGCTGCAGCACACTGCTGGCTCAAACATGATTGTCCACTAGATCCCTCTCACAGTCACTACTGTTAAGACAGGTACCACCTATTCTATATACTATTGCATTCGGGTTTTCCTGCCTAAGAATAAGACCTTACTTTTCTCATCACCACAATTGCATTTTGTTGGATAGTATTCAAGTTTGTCAAAATCCTTTTGTGTCTTGAATCTAGGTTCTAAAGTGTTGGCTATTTCTCCCAGCTTGATGTCATCTGCAAATGTAATAAGTTTTCCCACTATCCTCTCATCTAAATCATTTATAAAGATATCGAAGAGTACTGGGCCTAATACAGAACCTTGAGGTACACCAAGTTCCCATCTCCTTACTTGGGTGAAGAGGTAGCAACATTTTGCCTAAACCTAATTGTTGCTGCTCATAGACACTTAACTGTAGTTCTAATCAAAGATGGAACTTACTAGTTAGTGATTATTCTCTTACACTTCACCTTACACCCCTACTTTATGACCTGTATACTAGGTAGATTGATGGATGGGCTAAACCATTTGCATTTGCCTGTCCCTGCCATACCACACCTTTTGTACTGTAATTTGTAGTTACTTTCTCTGGCAGCAGGTAACCTTCAGTGGATGATGAAATAAAGGCAGGATAAGCCATCAATAACTTTACTTAAATTTTCTGGGATTAAAACAGGGCAGCATCACTTGCCAGCCTCATTACTCAAACAGAAAAGCAATTGTCAGTGAAAGCAGCACAGGTTTTGCCAGCCTGTTTCTCTTCCCAATCACACTTTGGAGCAGTTTCCCCAGCCTTAGCCAATTTAAGATATGTGAACTTCAACTCTCAGAATACCCCAGTTAGCTCGGAGTTAAAGTCCATATTCTGGGAGTTGAAGTCTGCACATCTTAAAACAGCTAAGGTTTGGAAATATTGCTCTAGATTAGGGGTGTCAAACTCACGTTGTCACGGCAAGCATCACATGATGTATTGGGACTTCGCTAATCCAGGTATGGGCGTGGCCAGCGCATGACACATCTGGCCCATGGGCCGGGAGTTTGACAGCTCTGCTCTAGATGAAAGCACTATAGAGTGGTTGTACCCTAAATGTGAACAAGTCAGTAAGTTTTTTGAATGAAAAATAGGATAATTGTGTTTTAAATATTTTATTTTTTTAAAAAAATCTGCTCAGTTAGGGTGAACAAAGATATGCAGCTAGCAGATGCCTTACTTACAGGAAAAACCAGCCATTCTACAGAATTGGTGCCTGACAATTCTCCACTGCCTTTTTAAAAGAAGAAGTTGTGAACTTCTTCTGTCATTAAAAAAAAAACCCTGGTTAAGAAAGATAAAAGAAGAATGTTCCTGTATGCATATGAATAATTCAAAAAGAGAAATAATAAGCCAAATATGCAACATATCTAAATGGGAATTAAAACTGGGACCCAATACTATAATTTACATTTATACTCGTTTTCTTAACACATCTTTTTTCTGGCAGTATTTATTTTCTGGGATGATTAAATAACATAAATTACACCCTCCACCCATGTACAATGACACTGAGGGAGGAAGTGGAATGTATGAATTTTGTCTTCTGAATTACACATTAAGGACTCCTAAGCACTAGTCTTTCATCAGCTGAGAGATAAACAATCAAACAATCAAACAATTTACTTCTATCTATAATCGGTGCCGGACTAAGAGAAGGTTCTGCCTCAGTTTTCATACAGAAATTTTGAGCACTCTGGGTGAAATCTCTGGTTCTGAAAGAGTTCCATCTACTCCTCGGTCATCAGAAATGTACACCTGCAATGACACTGGGCATCTTCCTTGCTAATCCTAATCCTGCCTTTCTTTCAAATCATTGCATATACCTGATTTACTTCCAGGGCAATAAGTGACATAGCCCAATAGATTTTATATACTTTCTGGGTAGAGAATATTAGAAGAAGGGGGGATATATTATCTTAACAGAGCTAAGGACTTCTTAAACGTATTTGTCTCAGAATGTGAACAAACTGAAAGCAACAGAAAAGATATCTTGTCAGGGCATGTTTGCAGTGATTGGTGCAAACCAATGAGGTGAAGAAAGGCCATTTGTAGTGCAGAAGGAATGCAATTTGAATTATCACCAGGCAGGTTGAATACCAGTTTAACTGCAGACACACAATACATTCAGGAAATGAAGGATGAGGAACTACTTTGTGCTTGTCATACTGGTATTGGATGATATTTTTTCTGATTCCAACAAACGCGTGGCACAATTAAACGATTGAGAGATTTTGCTAAAGGTAATCCCTACTGGAAAAAAGTCAAAATTATCATGACCTGAGTTGACATCCAGACATCTTTCTGGCCTCTTCTTTGGCTCCTACCCAGACATTTGTCTCACTGAGATCTTCCTCAAGGCTGTGTTAAAATGTTTCCTCCTTTCTTTGAAGTGACCTTCATTGCTGAGATCACTGCAGTAATGAGCCAGTTCGGTGTAATTATTAAGGCACCAGCCTAGAAACTGGGAGACCATGAATTGTAGTTGCACTCTAGGCAACAAACCAGTTAGATGACCTTAGTCTGGTCACTCTCTCTCAGCCACTTTAAGGCACTTCCAAGAAATCTTGCCAAGAAAACTGCAAGGACTAGCCCATGCAGTTGACAGAAGTCAAAATTTGACTTGAAGGTGCGTGAAATCTAAAGAGCAGTACAGATATGGGAGAACTTAAGGGAAGTAATTGTGGATCGTTCAGCTTTATTTTCATTCCCAACATCAGTCAACATCTGATAGGAAAACATCCATGAATTGCTCTCTATTACAGAGATTGGGGCTGGAACCTCTGGAGGATAAATAATGTGATATGATATTAAAATGTGAACATGATGATCTCATCTGCCTTTTGGGACCCATGATCTGGGAAAAGGAATTTAATTCTGTCTGACTACCAGTTCCATTTTTAAAAATTCTTCCCATGGTGCTGGTTTTTGCTTATTGAAAGTACTGATCTGTGAATGTGCAGAGATTCCATAAGACACCATGGACACATGGGGATGATTAGGTCAAGTTGGCAGCAGACAGCATCTCTCTTTCTCTCACTCTAATTCTCTCACTCTCCTCCTCTCCCCCTCCCCTCTCTCTCCTCTCTTCTTTTGCCATATGTTCATATGCCGGAAGTTCAGCCTGGTCTCTTCAATTTTCTCTTGCACATTCTTGCTCATCTGCATATTTGCCTCTTGGTCTCCCATTTTGTCACAGTTTATTGCTCTTGCAGACTTTCATCTGTCCCCTCCCTCTCTTCTATAATCAGCCGACAAAAGGGCTGTTGACAAGTTCTGATAAGTAGACTCCCCCCTTTTCCTGCCACCATCGCAACCCACACTTTGTAGTTCATCATAGCTGATCCTCTCTACCACTTCTGCTACCAAAATATAATAAAAGCTTCAGTACTAGTCATTTTGCAAAGGAAAAACTGAACTGCCCAACAATGCCAGATCTGCAAAATATAAGCCTGTTCACTATAGGACCTTCAAGGACCCCATTCTCTGCCCCCCATGTCTTTGCAAGAAGAACTATTTGGTAAGAGGAAAAATTCCTGTCCCCCTCTCTATAAACATAATTTTAAGTTGCCTTTGCATATACACTTTCAGCTATGTAAAAGCTATTGGCTCAACAAATTTCTGGGGACAAGAGTTGCAGATTTAACCTTCTGCTAAACATGAAAGCTTTCACTGATTTACTACCTCTCTGAGAATTAGGTCTATGTACTGTAAATAAAAAGCATTCTGAGAAAATGAATACACTGAAAGATTACTGGAGAAAATTCTAAGTAAGAAACTATGAGCTTCATGATATTTTTAAAAATAAACATTATTTATCTGCATAACTGGATACAGAGTGAAGCCTATTTAATGTGAGTTCAGAATGACTTTTTTCATGCCTCTTTTTAGTTTATAATTTTAATTTTATAAATATAAATATATTTGTTCTCATTCTATAAGGAAATTTCTATCAGTTAGATTACTTTTATTTTTTCTGTACTGAAATGTACCAAGCTTATTGTGGCTCAGCTCTTGACAAATCTGCTATTTCATATTTCCAATTTCTAATGATAGGACTGGAAAGAAACTTGCACAAGCTGCTTTTATATACTGGCAGTTAGGGCAATATAGTAAGCTCCAATAGTTTTCTGTTGCTAGGTTTTATAATCTAAAACTATCCTCATATACTTACCTTAGCAATGTCATACATGACAGAAATTTTAAACTCCCAGTCCATGAAAGTTCCATCAGGGTAGGAGATTTTATCATTTAAGACATCCTGAGATGAAAAAAAGAGACAGAACTGCTGGTAAGAACATAAAAACCAGCTTAATCCTGAAGTTGCTAAAAGTTGCTAAAAGTTGCTAAAAGTACCCAAAAGTACCCAAACCAGAAGTTGCTAAAAGTACCCAACAGTCAAACAATATCTTCATTCAGATCAATTAAAATAACACAGAATAATGAATCCTTGCCAAGCAATTCAGGGCAACTGAATAAAGAAAATTTCCTTGAATAAAGTAGCTATTGGGAAAACTCAATTTTATCTCCAGTTCAGTTCAGATATCAACTTAGTAATTTGTTTTTTCCTGAAGTTACTTTGATCACAGTGGACAGTCCTATCTGAATACAGTGGGAGATGAAATGTTTGTATCCTTTTTAAATGGCTACTGTGATTAAATAATTCAATAAGAGAACAAACCTAACTCTGTACGCCTTAGTACCTGCCACCAGTAACCTAACAGATAATTGACTAAGGTATGTCTGAGAAGGGGGAAAGGACTATACTTAAAACACAAGTGTACATTATTGCTTTCACAATATAGTTAAGTTAATTCCAGCTGGAAATTTTCAGAACTATAGTTCTAATAGCCTGGAGGGCACCAGTATGGAGAAGATCAGGCTTGCCTTTTCATTACTGGTCTGTCTAAGAGGGCTGAACTTTTATCCTAAATTGAATACTGTAGAGTATTTGCTTTGCGGTTAAAAAGAACCTCAGCTTCTATCTGGAATAGTCCCTATTTCCTAACATGCAGGAGCAAGCCCTTTTGGTTTCTCCTTATTACCTCAAAAATATCACAAAATCTAGTTCTTAATAGCAGATTAAAATAAGAAAATTGGTATGTAATAGGTAATAAAGAAATAACTCCATCTAGAGCTATTTGTTTTGCTTCTGAAATCCCAACCAATGTCATTCTCTCTGATGTATTGTGGTGTTGTGGTGTCCCTTTCTTATTACTTTCCTGTTCTTTATTATTAAAGCAAAATCTCATTAATTCTGAAAGATCTCTAAAGGTACTATTTCTCTTGCCGCCACCATTAAACCCCTTTTCTGTTTTAGAAATTCTTTTGTTTTTCTCCCTTCTTTCTTTGTATTTTTATGGTAAAATGATTGTGGAACATGGGGAGCCTATAGTACACTACAATCATTTCATTAACATTTAAACAATCACCACCAAATTAAATGAGTTATAAACAGACTAATATTCTTCTGTAGTGCCCCCCTTGACCCTCACTAATTTTTTTCTTTGAGATGAAGGTTAATGTGCCTTGACACAAACTAATCAGTGAGCTATAAAACTGTTTACCCGCAATGATCCCCTTTCACAGTATTCAATTACTCCGTAGATCATTGTATCCATCTTGACTGTTCCATAGAATTTAGTCAGGTTATAATAGTCAATTTGAAGAAGCTGGAGAAAATAATTGCATTTATTAGAAGCAGATTGTTACATTTAAAGTAACATACAATACTAGAAATGAAAAGTATAAAATCTCTCGGTCTTTCCTATGGCATGGACATAATGTATTTCGTGTTGGATCTTGTAGCTTTTCAACTCTAAGGTGATTAAAATATTTGCAAAAACTGTGCAGCAAGATACATATTTTTGGATATCATTAACCCTACCTAGAATGTTACGTTTATTTTGTGCATGCTCTAAAAAATGCCTGCCATGCTGGAGGTGCATGGGGAATTATAAAATGACAACTGTTTACTGGAAGAGAAATTAAAGTTCCCTCCTTATGTTAAATTATATTTTTCTTGCTTCCAGCTAAATGAATACTTCTTAGCAGTGCACAGAACTATAGTTAATACATTCCCCACTTTCATTTTCTTGGAATGCCTATAGGGTTTATTTAGGATTCAGCAATATTCTTAGAAATAAAGGAGGACAATGCTTTTTTATCAAGCCAGCTTCCTAGTTAAGCTTTTTTTAAAAAAATCTATGTAGAAGAATGGTTGCAAAATGACTCAGTACAATTCAGAAACTGAGCTAACTCATAAATGCTCTTAAATAGATTTGGCATAGGGTAGAAATTTAAGGGATTAAAATCAGTAATATAATCATCAAACTGGGAAAAAGTTTTCAAAATTCTCAGCAGTTGCCCCTTAACAGAGGGATGGGAGGCCTATTAGGTTGTCCTGTCCTAAGTGCCTGATGGACCCAGTATATTGTCAGAGGGGAAATATTTTTTTCCTGAAGCTCTAACATGCAGCTTCCAGCAGGCTAAAAGCTAGGGATGACCTTTGGAGGGCTTGTGATGGAATGGTGTAGCTATCCTGACACTCCTGCATCTTTTGGTGGCTTTCACTACTCTCATGCAGTTAAAGGTTGCTGGTTTATTGTCTTTAAAGCTCTATATGGCATATTGGCACAAGACCTCGTTATTGCGGGACTACCTCTCCCGAAGAATATCTGCCCATTCCACTAAATCAGGTAAGGTAGTCTGGGCACCAGATCCCTTCCCTGAAATCTTGCCACCTAGTGGGACCTCAGAAAGTGTGCTTTTTCTATGGCTGCCCCTGTCTTGGGGAACATCGTCTCCTTGGTGGTTTGATAGGTCCCCACCCATTTAGCCTTTTAAGATTGGGAATGTTTTTAATAGGATAGGATAGGAATAGGAATAGAATAATAGAGTAGAGTAGGAATGGAATGGAATGAAATGGAATGGAATAGAATAGAATAGAATAGAATAGAATAGAATAGAATAGAATAGAATAGAATAGAATAGAATAGAAT